CGCCCCTTCCCGCCGCCCCGCTACCTCCTCGTCGTCCTCCTCCTCCTCCAGCTCGTCCTCCAGCTCCTCGGCCTTGCCCGGGCCGCCCTTGGGCAGCAGCTCCTCGGGAGACAGGGACGCAGCGGCCGCCATCGCCACCAGACAGGGACGGAGGGGGCGGCGAGCCAGCGGAAGCGGAAGGGCGGGCGGAGCGCCGCCGGAAGCGGGGCCGTGCTCCCGCCGCCCTGGCTCGGGGGAAGCCGCGACCCCTGGCGGCCGGGAGGACCCTCGGCCACCCCCACTGCACGGGGTGCTCACCGGCCCCGGCTTCCCCCGGTCCCCCCGTAACAAACCCTGCCCGTAACAAACACGCGCAGAACCTGGTTTTAAATGTAATCTTTTTTTAATGTAAAGTATGCAAAACCCTTGAGAAGAAGCGCCCCTCACACCCTGCTGGCTGAAGGCAGCAGTGAAGCTCCTATGAGCCCCCCCGGGCTCCCCCGCGGGGAGGGATTTGGGGGGGTCAGAAGTCTCCCCGCGCTTTGGAGCAGAGCAGGCAGGGAGGGGACCCCCCGGAGGTGGGACCTTTCCCACCACCTGCTGTCAGGCCACCTTAGGAAAGGGGGTTCCCACTGCCAGGCTGGGATGAAGGAAAGGCGGCGAGGTCGAGAGAACGAAGACGAGCGTTAATGAGCAGCGTGGAGGCGTGACTCGCTGGGGTGCCCATCCTGCAGCACCACACAATCCTGGAGGCACCTTGATCCTAGTGGTCCCGTGGAACAAAGTACCTACACACAGTACCAACAGGGCGAGGGGGCTCACTGTGAGCCCCCTCGCCCTCCCCGTCCTCCGCTGCTGCTTCACTTCCTCCTCCGGCTGTGGCTCTTCAGTTCCTCCAGCTCCTTCTCCATCAGGTGGGACTCGGCCGTGGTCTCGGAGAGCTGCAACGCAACAGTGAGAGACAACACGAGTGAGCTACCACGTTCACAGTGCAACCTTTCCAGAGAGGTCGCCGAGATTTACGGCTGCGGGCCTGCACCCGTGTGAGGGAATTTATTCCCCTTTGATGAAGGAGAAGACGAGCTTTTGCACTTTTCTGAGCTCACCTGGAAAACCTGGAGAGCGGCTGGGGCTCCTGCTAAAGCCACAAAAGCCCCTTGTCAGTTTTAAAACACGGGAAGAGCACGAGGAAGGAAAATGATGAAGGAATAAGTAAGTGTGTTTTGGACTGACGTAAAGGCTAAATCACTTGACAGACTGAGAATACACCTCTACTCTGTTTCACTGAAAATTACTCCAGGTTTTAAGCATGAAAGACGTGATCTCTGGGTAAAGTTAAATTTTAGATTATTCAGGGCTTGGGAATTCTTTCATCCATAGGTTTACGCATAGAATAAATGTGACACCACTTGTGACAGCAGACGGAAGCTTTAATCTTCCATGACCAGAAAGGGTGGCTGTAACTCGGTTTCACAGTTAGGGCAGAGGCCGGAGGGGCAAGAAAAATGCTGTATTCCACGCAGAAAGGGAAAGAGGAGACGCAGCACTTGCAGTGGCTCCTCTCTAACCAGCCACAGTGTTCACAAAAGCCCAGCTCTGCAGCGGGGGGAACCTTCCCCTCTTCTTGCAGAGGAGCTCGGACTTTACTCCCACAGTCACGTTGCCGTCACACTTGTCTTGTGGAGAGGGTAAAGCGGAAAGAGCAGGGTGCAGCGAGAAGGGGCTCCTTGGGCGGTCCCGGCACCCTTCGCTTGGGCATTCCCGCTGCTACGGGCAGGAGGCAGTTGGGCAAAGACTCACCATGTCCAGCAGAATGTCCACTTTCAGCCGAAGGAGGTTGTTTTCTTCCTCTAGCTGCTGGTTTCGCTTGCGCAAGCGCTGCATTTCCCTGCGATCCCCCGTGAAGCTTCCTGATTCTGGAAGGAAAGAAGGGAAAGAGGTCAAAATAGGGATCGTCAGCCAACCCTGGCTACTTCAGATCAAAGCAAGCTGAGCTGCACTCTACCTGCCACCCACTGGCCGTTTTCAAACTTCAGGCTCTGGCCAGTGAGGTTCATGGTGGGGATGCCATACTCCAGGCCCAGCTCAATCTCACGGGTCGATCTGTCCAGCTGCAGGGAGGAGATCACACTCAGTGTTGGTCAGAAATCCAAAGCCAGCCCCTGCTCTCCCATTTCTTACTGACTGGCATTCCAATGGAAGCTGCTGGTCCAACTGGCCCTGGAGCCTGAAACCCTAATTTCTGCCATGTACTGATGCAATAGAGGGCTGGCTCCTCTCACAACAGTGCCTGCACTTTCTTCTGCCTAAACATATACCCACCTCCATGGGCTCAAAGACCACTGGTGAGAAGTTTTAGGTGAAATAGTTCTGGGCTGCGGGTGGGGTGATGATCCTTCCCTGAGGTATTCCATTTTTACCTTCAGAGAATCATAGAATTGTCTAGGTTGGAAGGGACCTTTAAGACCGTTGAGTGTAACCATTAACCAAACACTGACAAAAACCACCACTAAACCATGTGCCTCAGCAACATGTCTACCCATCTTTTAAATACCTCCAGGGATGGCGATTCAACCACTTCCCTGGGCAGCCTGTTCCAATGTTTCATCACCCTTTCCATTAAATTTTTTTTTCCTAATACCTGATCTAAACCTCTTCTGGCGCTACTTGAGGCCATTTCTTCTTGCACATTGTTACTTGGGAGAAGAGACCAACCCTCACCTTGCTACAACCTCCTTTTAGGTAGTTGTAGAGAGTGATGATGTTTCCCCTCAGCCTCCTTCTCTCCAGGCTAAACAACCCCAGTTTCCTCATAAGACTTGTGCTCCAGACCCCTCACCAGCTCCGTTGTCCTCCTCTGGACCCGTTCCACCACTTCAATGTCTTTCTTGTAGTGAGAGGCCCAAAACTGGACACAGCACTTGAGGTAAAGCCTCACCAGTGCCGAGTACAGGGGGATGATCACATCACTAGTCCTTCTGGCCACACTACTCCTGATGCAAGCCAGGATGCTGTTGGCCTTCCCGGCCACCTGGGCACACTGCTGGCTCATATACAGCTAGCTGACTGCAGACCAACAGCCCCAGGTCCTTCTCTGCCGGGCAGCTTTCCAGCCACTCTGCCCCCAGCCTGTAGCACTGCATGGGGTTGTTGTGACTCAACTGCAGGACCCAGCACTTGGCCTTGTTGAACCTCATCCCATTGGCCTCAGCCCATCCATCCAGCCTGTCCAGATCCTTCTGTAGAGCCTTCCTACCCTCACATAGATCAACACTCCCACCCAACTTGGTGCAAACTTACTGAGGGTGCACTCGATGCCCTCGTCCAGGTCGCCGATAAAGATATTAAACAGAACTGGCCCCAGTACTGAGCCTTGGGGAACGCCACTTGGTGACCGGCCTCCAACTGGATTTAACTCCATTCACCACAACTCTCCGGGCCTGGCCATCCAGCCACCTTTTTTTTTTAGGCAGCAAAGTGTATGCCCATCCAAGCCATGTTTCTCCGGCAGCTGGTTTCTCCAGGAGAATGCTGTGGGAACGCGTGTCTGGGTTGCCCGTGAGGCAAGAGGCAGAGTAAAGGAGCTCTTACAAGGACTATGGCGCTCAGGACCCCCCCTGCCCAGCGACCCTTCCCACCAGCAGCCCGTGGCGGCGGCACTCACCAAGTGCAAGTTGGAGAGAGAGGCGCATTTCCTTGGGGGGGTCTTCTTGGGGCTGAAGGTGCTCCCGAAGAGGGGCATGGCGCGCTGCCGGCCGGGCCGGGGCCGGGGGGGAGGCCGGACGGGACGACGGGGAGGCGGCCGGTCCGGTACCGTAGGCCAGAAGCAGAGACCGTGTCGGCGGGGACGGGGTTTCCTCCGGCGCAGCTCCACCTAAAACCGGACCTGCTCTCCTCACACACTCCCTTCAGAGAACGTTAAATGGCG